AGTAGGTAGTGGTAGTAGTAGTAGTATTAGTAGTAGTAGTAGTAGTAGTAGCAGCAGCAGCAGGAGGAGTAGTAGTAGTAGTAGTAGTAGCAGCATCAGCAGCAGTAGTCAGTAGTCGTCGTGGTACTAGCCGTAGCAGCAGCAGCAACAGCAGCAGTAACAGTGAGAGCAATTGAATGCTTCAGTTACTGTCGTGAGGCTTGTAGTACATGTAGCAGTAAACGTAGAAGTAAATGTAGTAGTAGATGTAGTATCATATGTAGAAGCAACTTGTAGTGTTAACTGCAGTGGCAATTGTAGCCGTACGCCGTACATGAAGTAGTCCCTGTAGCAGTAAATGTGTAGCAGCAGCCAGCAGCAGCAGTCGTCGTCGCAGCAGCTGCCTTTGCTTCTGCTGCATATACATTCGCGACTGCACCGCTGTTATCGTGGTGGTGGGGGTGGTGGTGGTGGTGGTGGTGGTGGTGGTGGTGGTGGTGGTGGTGGTTGCGGCTGTGGTGATGGTGGTGGTGGCCGTGGTCGTCGGAGAAGCAGCTATAGCAGCAAACCTGCAATAGCACAATAATGTTTTAATGGTGGTATTGTAGTCAGACTGGTGATAAACATCATAGTGTTCAATACCATGGTGATAGTTTCCATTAGCCACTTAGCAGGAAAAGCAGCGATACCCTCACAAGAATATAGCCAGTGACGACAGCTTAAGATGCAATGTTCCCGCAGGCAGTTACAGTTGGCATATCGGATGCGCTTGCCCAAAGCTTTAGATTTTCCATCACTCGAGCACTGCAGAAACTTCGCCACGAATCCCCGAGCCCTGGCAGAACGTGCGCCAAACCACCGGTACTCACATCCACTTCGACGAAGTGCCGCACGGCGCGAGGCCAGAGACGTTGTGTAGCGTTGACTGACGGCAGCATCGACTAGTTGCATCGCATTGTATAGCACTGGTGCATAATTGCAGTAGTGACGATCAGGTTGCTCGCTCTGCGCATGTAGGTCTTCGTCTGCTCCAAATCGACAGTTCTCATGCGTGCACATTCCGGTGTTTGCAGATCTACCTTATCATTGCCGTTACTTCAAGGGGTCTGGCATGACCTGCGATTGGATTTCAGCAGCGAAGACGTTCAGTGCAGCGGGAACGTTCAACCTTGATTTAATCTTGTGAGGACATGTCCGCCGTGCATGAACTTTTGCTGCATGCCCAAGCTGCTTTGGCTTAGAAAGGAATCGCAATCGGCATCGCCCTTTACTCGGAACCTGCTCACCATGTGGATGCTGAAGGCCTTCTCGCTCTTGGCGGTGGCCCAGGCACAGATTGCGCCAACGCAGACAATGCTGCGCAAGGCGGTGCTGCAGAAGGCGAACTCCCTTTTGAACAGCACCGTGGATGACACCCTGAGCTGTGTCAGCAGCTGCCCGTTGGACGGATCCAGTTTGAGCCCAAGCCCGCTTTGCCTCCTGAGCAACTGCACTTCGACTTTGGCCAAGTGCTTGTTCTCATCGGACTGCCGCAACGGTCTCATGTGTGAGCTGCACTGCACGGAGCCTCTCGCCAAGACCGAAGATGGCTTGCACTTCGCGACTCTGATGGAGTGCGTGCGGGTGAAATGCCCAGGCTTCCCACCCAGCAAGAGCTGCGTGGCGCTCCATTGCACTGAGGAGGCGGCCGAGTGTGCGATCCACAGCAAGTGCCGCCACGCCCTCGAGTGTGCGAACGGCTGCGTCCCGGCGAAGTATGAGGCTGCCCTGCAACTCGTCCAGGAGAACACCGCCGTGGCCGTTTGAGAGCCTTTAAAGACTTCTGCCCGACGGCAATCGTCACATATGGATTTGCCCACACGTGCGGCTGAGCGAAGGCCAGCTGCTCCGTGGGCCCTGCCTTGACTCCTTGACCGAACTTGCGATGGAAAAACACAGAGACACGCAGAGAGAGAGACCGGAAGCCAGTGAAAAGCCCCGTCCTCCCGCCACACATTGCCACGTATCGCGGCTTGCCGCTGCCAGGGAGCAAACCATGCGCATCAAGGGTCCCCTGTTGGGCGTCTACAGGCCAGCCTTGCCAAAGTGCAGTGCCCTTCAAGGCCGCGAGGATGGCTCGGATTGAGGTTTCGTATTGCACACAGTGAGATGGTGACGGCTTCGCCCCATCTTCACGCCGAGTCTAGGGCATTATTTGATGATCTGCTTCGCCTCGGTGCAGGGCACACGTGATGATGATGCAAAGGCGCTGGGGCTTGTGGCGTGCGGAGGGAATGTCAGGGGTCAGGGGGTGCTTTCGCTTCTGCGTGCACGGTGCCCTGGAGGTATCATGAGCACGAAACAGAGTTGTCCGCGGCTCAGGAGGGCCTGTGTGGGTCTAGGTACTGGGCTGCCCTGCGAACATGCTCCACCGTCATCGCTATTAAGGCAGCTAGGTCATTAGACTGGTCTTTTCGGAGCTCACTCAGCCGACGGACCAGGTTTGAACCCAAGGGCAAAGGTGCTGCTTCTGCGAAAGGTGGGAGAGTGGAGTGGACAGCACTGACCGTAAAGAAGATGATGGCACTGCAAGACAGTGATATTGGCACAGTGAGGATGAGGACGACAAGGGTGAACAAGAGAAGTGTGATGATCGTGCTGGTAACCTAGTGATGCAGCAGCTGCGCGCAGCGTCATCTCCACCACTCTACATCACCAGAATCATGCAAACACAACTCTTAGCCAGTGTCATAGCGCCATAGCAGGAGTGACACGGTAATTTACCTTCAGTTCTTCGCCGATATTGGCGGTGGTGGTGGTGGTGGTGGTCGTGGTCGTGGTCTGGGTACCGCCACCACAACCATATTCATTGCCATGTTCGCGTGAAGCTTGGTTGAGGCCGATGATGCTTCCGATTGTCGTGCTGGCGATGCTCTAATTATCAGAATGGTCGTGAAGAGATATCCTCTCATCGTCACCGCCGCCACTGTCACCCACTCACTTCTGCGACGTGATAGTCAACAGCACCACCGAAAGTCACCACCATAGTCATATTCACTCGCGCTGCCACCATTGCTGTCGCCACCATCGTGTTGTTCACCATCTTTACACCCATCAACCTCATGCTCCAAGCGCCAGGGGTTGTAATCACTGTAACTGTAATCACTCTAGCCCTGTGGAGGAAACTATATGACACCTGCCAACCTGACAGTACTACACCACCGCCCTGAACCCTATCGAACCGTTTGACCCCGCACTATTCTCAAATCCGAACCTCCACACACTAAGCCCGAAACTTGAGCAAAACTTTTTGCTGGGGTTTCGATCGTCGAAGTGCACGGAGGAGAGCACAAACTTGATGAAAATTCCCTGAACCTCAACGTGGACTTCCTGCCAGGCGGGAAGGGCGAGCGCCGTAGTGGCTGGGATGCCAAGGGCCGTGACAGTGACTGGGCAGCACACTGGGGCTATATAGGGTCTCAGAAATTTGGGGTGTCGGGTTTATGGTTCGGGTTCATAGCTTAATGTAGGCAGCCTTCAAGCCCTCGAAGGTCCCTCTTGGATGACAGGAAGCCACCCAAAGAAGCATTTCTGAGCCCCCGAACCCCAAGGCGCCAAGGGCCGGGAGCCTACCCGGGAACCCACCCGGCAGCCTTATCGCGAGCCTCCTCGAGATGCCGGCAAGGGCCGAACTCATGGTGGACCAGGCGGACCCTTGAGAAGTTGGCTCTGACCCTAACCTGGCTAGGTACGAGCCGGAGTTGCTACCAATATCTAGTGCGGGTATGATTGCGATGATCTTCATGTCATCCGACACATGAGTGCCATTAATTTTAGCACTTCTCAGCTGATCATGCCGAACACTGACACCTCATCTCTGAGCTCCAAGGGCACTGGAGCCTGACCCTTCAGTGAAACACCCAGCCCTAAAATGAACAGCCCTTCAAAGTTAAATCCTCATCTCATCCCCTGAAGAGACGTCTTAAACCCTGACCACCAAAATCCTACAAGGCTGAAGCAATAAAAACATATGCGAGATCGCATGGAGGTCGGCCAGAGAGGTCCGGAGAGTCGCGCGAGCACCTCGAGGCAGGCTTTTCTTGTTGAGGTAATATATGCATAAAACATAGATAGATAGGTAGGTAGGTAGGTAGGTAGATAGATAGACAGATAGATAGATACATAGATAGATAGATAGATAGATAGGGGGATAGATAGATAGATAGATAGATAGATAGATAGATAGAGAGCGAGAGAGAGAGGCAGGCTTTACGACCCTAGTTGCGGGAGGCATTATGTTCGCTTTTCACACCCCTTCACCTGCATTAACAGAGATGCGGGTGGGCCTGTGGCCGGGGGTCTTGACCGACCCTCATGCCTGGGGCAGAGAGAGAGAGGCGCAGGAAGCTTGACACGCTCCTCCAAGCCCGGAGAACAGAGCAGAGAGAAAGAAAGAAAGAACGAACGAAGGGAACCATATCGTTTTACGAGCTCACTTTTCTGATGCTTCCCCTACACAGAGAAGGTTAGCAAAATAGAAAGAAAAATGGGTCGATAGATAGATAGATAGATAGATAGATAGATAGATAGCAAAACAGATAGATAAAATAGATAGATAAACAGATAGGAGATAGATAGATAGGTAGCTAGATAGATCCATCCATCCATCCAGCCATCCAAGCATCCGTCCATCCATCCATCCATCCCTCCATCTAGCCAGCCAGCCAGTCAGCCAGCCATTTATCTAGCCAGCCAGCCATCCGTCCATCCATCAACTGTGTAGCTGAGTTGAGGGCTGCCTGAAAGCTGGAGTTTCCAGGTAGCAAAGATGGAGAAATGAGTGCCACTAGACAGTTCGTGAAGCGTTTTGGGCCGCAAGCGAGTGCTGTGAGTTGCGCAGCGTCCTCATCGTCGTTGCTCCGGCCATAGCGATGCACAGCGTATGGCGATGACTGTAGGCGTGACATTTAAAGTCTTGTCCCGAAGAGGTGCCGAGTTGCCGGTCTTCATAAATGGTTCGAGTCCACTGTTGTCGTTCGCATCCTTGGTAGGAATAGTGGTGATGCTTTAGATGAAGGTTTCCTGCCTTTTGCTACGAGCTGGGAGGACATGCTCGCAAACTTGGAGAGGCAAATGGCTGAGGTGCGCTTGTGCCCTTCTGAGTTTGTAATGTACCCCTGAATCACAAGATATACAAGATAAATGCAACATCTAGGACAATAACAAAGTAAGATGCTACCTTGCAGCCCTGCGGGCTGAATCGCGATTCCACGGGCAAACAACCCCCCTTTGTGAAAACAAGACTGTAACACGTTTCATTTAAGCTTGCCAGATCAAGCCAACCGAAGCCACCCTTCCTCAAGGTAGCCCAGCGGTTCCTTTCCCTGACACCTGTTTTGCTCAGCCTATCACACCCCAACCTAATAAACAGAAGAGGGATGCCGTGGCATGACTAACAGTGAGGAGTGAGGCATCTGGCGTGGGTTTCACGGCACCAGGGGAAACTATGAATTAGCACCTGGAGGCATGCTGGATCTAAGTGAGTTGCTTGGCTTTCGAATTCGGGCGCAGCGTGGGCTTACTCGCTGGAGCCTCAAGGCGAAGATCATGTAACCGACAAGAGGTGCAGACTTATTTCCGCTACTCTACACTGCCGAGCTCCCGACCGTTCTCTAACCTTCCCGATTCAATACGATGTAAGTCACCTCCTTGCCTCCCTCCTTTCCTCCCTCGCTCTCTTTCTCTCGCTTTTGTATGTGAGCATGTAGCAAAGATGTCGCTGTCCCTTTCGTCTGCAATGGCACCCGTCGGGACGGCTCTGCAGCCGCCTGGTGCACCAGGTTTAGCCTGCTCCTTGTCCTGGACAGGAGAGCTTTGTACTCGTTGAGGTGTTGAGCAGAGGTGTTTATATATATATATATATAAATGTATATATATATATATATGTATATATATATATATATATATGTATATAGTACGGTCTAGAGAAGCGCAGTTGAGCCTTTGAGAGTGTAGTCGAAGACAGCGAGGAAATCAATGGAGGAGTAACACTATATGCACTGTAGTGCATCCTATGCCGCTGTGATGAGCTGAGCAACAGTGATCTATTGCTGTTGTTCGCACCAGCCCTAAGCGCCTCGTTGCTACTTTAGAGGTGTGTCCTGATGCTTCTTAAAAGCAGCAGGCTTGGGCTGTGTCTCGAAACGGAGATGGCGCTGCCTGCTCGCAGGGCTTCTGCTTCTCGGCATACGAGCTGTTTTACTTGTCTCCCTGCCTCGCTGCCTGTCGCAGCTGCGTTGAGCCGAGCTGCTGTGGATAGGTCTTGCTGATTCTGGTTTCCATTCTCTGATTGTCGCATAAGGCTTTTCGGAATCGCCGGTTGCTCGGCTTTCCTGGCTTATGCAGAGACCCTGAAGTCCGAAGAGTCCCAAGACGATGATGCCGGGCCCCATTCCATGGATGCTGCGGTCTATCAGGCCGTTGCGAGCGAGTCTACCAGATGGGAGTTGAAGCTCTCTCCTTCCTTACTTGGGGTGCTTACGGGTCTGCTTCTTGCCGTGGTACATGTGCCTGGCAGCCTTCAGCACCGGCACCGGGCAAAGGGGTGGTGTCTTAAGATCGGCGGCTGCTGCGCCCTTCTGCTACTCAGCATTTACATCGTCGAGTTTCAGTGGCACTGGCTTTATAAGCCTGGCAGCTGCCGCGGTGGGATCAGGTACCGGTGGCTGAGCCTCTTGGACTGTGCCGGAATGGTCCTTCTGGGGCTCTACTGCGCTGTGAAGCCTCATCCGACTTCGGGATATGTCTACGATGCTCTATGGTGCGTATACGGCTTTTCAGCCACATCCCTGCTCTACATTGCCATGGACATTACACCTGGGTTGGCTTGAAAACAAACCTCACTAAACAGCAGCACAAAGGCCTGAACAGTCAAGCCTGAACAGATCTGATACCTGAAGCCACCAAATTTTAGACCTCAGCCCCGGAAGTTCCCTAACACGTTCATACCGTTCACTTCCGTAGAAGCACTCCTCGTGAGGACATCTACATGGAGTGCGACTGGGCAGACCTTAGCCAGCTGACTGCCGCTTTAGCGCTCACCGCCGAGGCCCATTCCGTCAGGCTTCCAACATTTCTTCTTGTCCTTACTCGCGTTATGGTTGTCGTTTGTCTTGTGCCAGGGTTAGTAGTCTTGATTGTTTATTGTGCTGCTAGTGACTGTTATTGTTTCGTCGTCGTCGTCGTCGTCGTCGTCGTCGTCGTCGTCGTCGTCGTCGTCGTCATGTTCGTTGTTCGTTGTTGTTGGCTCTCACTCGCCTTGTGACAGCAGTGGGGTTTGGGGGTTGCTGCATCGGATGTTGAATGCAAGTTTCAAGGAGTAGCGGGACAGGATCCAGAGCATAGCAGCCCCAAGGAGGCATCCCTGATAATGACAAACCCCCTATGTTCCCTACCCACTGCAGACCTGGAGTTGCAAGGCAGTTCTCTTCGGCTGGGTGGCGCAACTCTTCCAAGCGCGGATGCAGTCGGCAGGGGATGACGGTCTGGCAAGCTCCAATGCCTGGTTGTGACTTGACTGGGTCGGGGAATTTGCAGGGCTTTGGCGTTTAGGGTTTGGGACGTTCTGATATACCTGAAGACAGACCCTATCTTGGCGAACGTTGCCGGAATTGGAGCGCGTGTAGTGGAACACAAAGCCTTCTGGACGCATCGGTTTGCTCGAGGAGTGCTTGAGGGAGTGCTTGCGGGTGTCTACTTGACAAGTATACCTCTTCCTCAACACGAAACAGGATTTTGAGTACCATGTCGCACTTGCAGTGCAATGACTGGATCTTTCTCTTCTTGCCTTCGCTCCTCCATCCTTCTGCATCGTCATACTCCCGTGCCCACCAAAGCACAACAACAGTACATGAAGGCTTCTTTCCCGTGAGAGGTACACCATGGTAATAACTTTCCAAGCCAACGTGGAGCTGGTGTTGATCGAGTCCTTCCTCCAGCGGGACTTCGGAGCCTTCATGTTCCTACATATCGCAAGCGTTGCGTTCAAGGTGATGTTCCTTGGCATCTGGCTCTCCTACACGTATTTCATGGTCACGAGCCTTTTCCACAGCTTGAGTGTCTTGCGGCTGGAACGCCAGCGAACAAGGGGGGTGGCGCGGCAGCAAGCCCACTGGGCAATACGCATTGTTCGAATGGAGATTGTGGTTTCGCTGCTCATTGGTCTTACGACCGTGGTCACGTGGACCGTGGCGGTGGCATTTACCCTAGCCGACCTGTGTTGCATAAACAAAGATGAGACTGCGTTCACGTGGGCCCGAGTGCGAACATTTCTCCACCGTTCGGATGTGATGGTGAATGCAGTCGGCGTGGCGCTCCTGTCGGGCGTCCTGTGGCGGGCTCCCCTGCCCAGGGCCAGCGACCTCACGAAGCTCGAGGAGATCTCGAGGATGCGGGCTGGCAACAGCTTGTCGCACCTAAACTTACAGGACAGGCAAAGCTACGAAGCCAAAGCCGCCGAACTGGCTGGGCGAGGTTTCCGGCTCCGGGACCTTCTTGACTTCTGGGGCGTCTTGCTGGACAGGCAGGTGATGTCGGGCTTTTGCCCCGAGCGCTCAACCACCACGGACGTTGTCCGAGGGGCCATCATCCCATTGTCGTGCACATCTGTAGGTGGGGTTGCCCTTGCTACCAAGTGGAATCATGGGCAGCCTCTGGTACCGCAGCAGATGGTGACACATGCTTGGTCGAACACCTTCGCCAACTTGACGGCGGCCATCGTTGGAGATGCCCTTGGCCTCGAAACTTATGGCGACTTGGCTCAGCGTCTCGGCACCAAAACGGGGCTGGCGAAGATTGTGTCAGATGTGCGAGCGGCCGAGAAGCTGGATTCGACTTACTGGGTCTGTGCTTTCTCCATCAACCAACATGCCACCATCTGCAATAGCTTGGGGCAAAGCCCGCCGCGGGACACTGCAGCATGGACGGCCTGGGATAGGAAGTCGCGGGACTCCGTCACCGGAGAGCGCTATCCCCTGTGCTCCTGCCGGGAGCCCAAGACCTCCCAGGACTACGTGGTCTGCGAGGTCAACAAGTTCGATACCATGATGGAGCTGCTGACCCGAAGGGTCGCCAACGGCGTGGCTCAGCTGGTCGTTGTGGATCCTGGCTTCGATGTGCTCTACAGAGCCTGGTGCGTCGCCGCCGCTTGGATTCTTGTGAAAGGTTTTAGGAGTGCTTGGCATTTTGCTTCGACCCGGGTCTTGCTGGAAGCAGTGGCTGCCAAAAACACAGCAAAGGAGATCGTCGAAGGAAATATCCTCGGCATCCCGGCCCGGATATCGGTCTTCTCCAGGGATGTGGTGGACGAGAACTACGAGCGCCTCTCGCTGTTGGACGTGCGTGACTGCGAGGCATCTGTCCAAAGCGACAAGGACATGATCATCTCCAAGATCGCCGACGTCGACGTCTTTAACCTTAGGCCCGGCCCCTTTTTCAGTAGCGTAGGATAGGGCTTTGAATCAAAGCCTGCCTAGGTAGGCCTTTGGATGTTGTATGCTTTTATATTACTCCCTGTTGGGCTTAAGAGGCTTTCAAGGGCCAACCTAGCTGCAAGAACCAGGAAGTCTGAAGCTTCTTGTGTCCAGCGAGGCTGCAGCAGCTGGTTTTCAGTGCGCAAGGCCTGTTTGGGAGTTGGCGGCTCGCCTACTCCATTGCCATGTATACACTTAGTATACGTGCACTTTACATTATACTCGTATAGTACTGATTGGGGTATTCAGGCGTTTTTGATGTGCACCAACCCGTTCAAGAGATGAACCCAGCATGCGAATACCCAGGTTGGATGGCATCGAGCGGTCGAAACATGTCGCCACTATTGTCAAGAGATCAACGCAGCCTCCCGGCCTGTAAGGAGTTGATTCAGAGGCTATGCCTGAGCATCTCAGGTGCTATTGGCTAGCGGCTAGCCTTCAACATGATGAAGCCAGAGAGATGGATTTAGGTTTTTAGGCCCGTGATTGCGATGCCGTCTTGCGGAAGGCATAGGCCCCACTCAGTCCCTCCAGGCACCACGCGTAAGAACCGAACTTCGCGTTGAGACGCATTGCAACGAGAGGTCCCTTGAATTGGTGGACAAGAAGATGCCGAAGATCTGCCGCTCGGTTCCAGGAGAAGCTTCGAGGTAGTCTTTCATCATTGTGCCCTTCTAGACACGCTGGTTGACACTACAGAACCCTATAACGCCGCTTACGCGCCCCTACAAACCCAAGTTGTCCTTCTATCACTTGAGTTGTTCCCTCTTGCTGGGAGGCTGCTTTCGCCGCTCCCTGAGTGGTGACTGGTCCGAGTCCGCCAGCGAAAGCGAGACTTCTTGCAGCAGCGCCTGAGCCCGCTCGGCTGGGGCTGAAGGGTTCAGAGATGACTAGTAGGGTCATATTAGGGTTTTGGGCTTGGGGTCTTCTCAACTCGTCTAGTCGTACTACGGTTTTGTGGTACAGTGGTGTTGGTCGAAGAAATGGCTGCTCTCGTCCGGGCCTCCTGAGGAGTTTGCCCGGGGGACATGGCATGACCTGGCCTAAGAGCCAGGTTCTCCCTTTTAAGCGCGACTTCGTGGTTGGGAGCAAAGGAAAAGCTAAAGAACGACAGTTCATTTCCGTACCGGCTTCCCACATCCTCAGTTCGATATTTTGATTATCGGGGTCCCACCACCGCCATCCTCGTTAGCAGCATGAGCAGGTGTCGTCTCTGGCATCATCCCGCAACAATTGCCAAGCGTCCTGCGCACTCTCACAGCAGGGGTATCGGAGTACCTAGGTTCTCTTTGTAAGGGTCTTACCATTCGGGGTTTTGATTGGCGTTCCTTATGCTCTGAAACTCCCATGCAGCGACGCCCGTCAGGTGAAGGATAGGCTCGGGCGCTGAGAGTCGGCATGCTGCCCACGCGGCTGGCAGGCACAAGTGCCGACCAAGATCACGTAACATAGGGGCCTCGCTGGTCTATTTCACGAGTACTGAGACAGCTTTTGGACATGGTCAGATCATTGGGATTCGGGTGATGCAGTATGATGTGGATCTCGGACCAGGTGCGTCTTATCCCTAAACCCAAAACCCTACACCCTAAATCCTACACCCTAAACCCTACACCCAACCCTAAACCCTAAACCTTAGAAACCGAGATGCCAGGTCATGGTTCCAGCAGAGGCCAGGCGAGAAGGGCGTCTGCGGGCCTTTGCAACTCCAAAAACATTTTACAGAACAAGCTGCAACCGATGCCCCCTGCTTGTGGCCTCTAAGCTTTACAAGCCCCAACCCTCACCCGGTTTTCAAGGAGATTTTGCGTCAGATTCTGGCCCCAAGCGACTGAGATTCTCGGGACAGGCCTCTCCCGGCCGCTTCGGTAGACACCAGGACGTAGGCCGGCTGAGCGGAAGATGTTGCTGCGGACTATTGTCATTGTTATTGGTATTGCTATTCTATTTATGATTATTGTCATCATCACAATAATTGTTGTTGCTGCTGCGGCTGGTTGGTTGGTTGGGCAGGTGGTAGGTTTGTTTGTTTGTCCTTTTGTAATTTGTTTGCTATCTTCAGTCCAACAGTTGACTGCCCGCGATGCGGAGATCGTTGCCAGACTCCAGGCGCAGATAGTTGTAGTCGTCGGACTTGGCTACGTGAGAGGCCCGTGAAGTGTGAGGTGGTGATGGTGATGGTGGTGGGGGTGGTGGTGGTGGTGGTGGTGGTTCTTGTTGTTGTTGTTGTTGTTGTTGTTGTTGTTGTTGGTACTATCATTTATCATTATGGGTTATTGTTATTGTTATCGTCAGTCAATCTGATTATTACCAAAACTGTTGTTATTGTTGCTGTTGGTGTTCCTGATGTTTTTTGTCCCTGTTTTGTGGGTTGTTATCATCATTATTAGTATGTTTATGCTTATGCTACGTGCTATTGTAGTTGATCTTATCAGGGTTCTGGTCATATTATTGCTCTTCTTCTTCTTGTTCTGCTGCTTAGCTGTTGTGTGTTGTTCTTCCTTTTTTTTTTATCACGGTTGGTTTGTATCTCGCCTGTTCAGAGGAAGCATCTGAGAAGCCAGCACATGAGCGTCCTGCTCGTCGTACTGGGGGAGAATCCACGGTCTCCTGAGTCACAGCTACAAGCTTGGTCGCTCATTCGAGTCATTAGCTCGCTGTGGGCCGGGAGAGCTGGCGAATCCTGCCCTCGACCTGCAGAGACTAGAGGGACTTGCACATGTTTGTTTTTCATGTTCTTTCTACATTGCTCCTGGCGGTGATCGTGCTCCTGCTTCCTCCTTATCATCGTCGTCTTCATCACCATCACCGTACCCCATGATAATGCTACTTCTGATAGTTGGTATTGGCGCAGTCTCGAGACCCTGTGAGTATTCCTGCTCTTACTTTGTCGCTCTTATGACAATCCTGCCTGGTTCCACGGTTGTTGATAGTCGTAGCGCAGCTGCTAGAGTAGCTACCGCTACTGGTGCTGGTAGTAGTAGGAGTAGTGGTGATGGTGGTGGTGGTGGTGGGTGGTCGTCGTCGTCGTCGTAGTAGCAGCAGCAGCAGCAGCAGCAGCAGCAGCAGCAGCAGCAGCAGCAGCAGCAGCAGCAGCAGCAGGAGTCGGAATCGGAGTCGGGGTAGGGGTTAGCGCGCTGCTGCGGCTGTCGTTTTTGTTGCGCTTCTCCTTCTTCTTTTGATTGTCGTTGAGTCGTCGCTGTTGTTATTGCTGTGGATGATGTTGTTATTCTGATTTCCGCTTGCTACAGCTCTTGCGACACAGTGATGTCCTTTTGCAAGGGTGGACGCCCTTACCAGGCTCAGCCGCTTCGAAGTGATGCAGCAGCCAATGGCGGGCGCAACGAGTTTTTCTTAGACCTCAGGCAAGTCGTGGCCTCTCTTACGCCTCAATCCTTTAAAGTACCAGGGCATATGGGTGCATCATGAGCCTCTAGTGGACTCTTGTGTTTAGGAGATGTCCTTGTGATCAGCGCCGTCGAGTCTCGACTCAGCTTGCGCAGGGCAACAAAGTTCGAGGGGTCAGCGGCTGCTCGCCCAAAGAAACTCCAGCAAGCACTTAGTCAGGAATGAATCTAAGCATAAAAGGAAAAGTACCTGGGGGGTCTCAGGCGAGCTGTCTGTCCTGATAGTTCTCTCTCTGCATGACTACTGCAACATCACCGAAGTTGATTAGTCTGCTAGGGACGGTCCGTGTTTGCACGATCGCGTGTCTTGGATTCTAACAAGCCTCAGACGCAGATGTTTTCACGCACTCAAATCGGCCGCTGGGCTCAAGGGCCTTAGATCCGGGATTCCGAAGCGGGCCAAGCGCTTCGCATTCAGGCACTTTTGTCCTTTGAATTTGGGGTTCGAACTCGGAGCTTCCTCTGAGATTGTTGGGTGCTTGAGGTTTGGGCGCTAGGTTTTCGGGTCTCGGTATCACCTCAAGGACAGCAACTCGGGGTGTTGCTGGTTGTCGCTCAATGCCGTTGTCGTTCTTTCTGTTCTATTTGCATCCTTCCGATTAGCAGTCATCGTTGGATTCGTTTGCTGGTGCTGATTCTGCCTGGAAATCGTCGTCGGTGTTCTAACATCAGAAGTACTGGTGCTTTGAAGAGGCTTTGGAGAGCATTCGCATCACATCAACTCGTGATGGTTGGCTTCGTTTTCATGACGCAGGCATCCAGTTCGCAGTGTCATTAGGGCTGGAGTTTTCGTTTGTTGCGACACACCGGCCAATCAATGTAGCGCATTCCAACAGGAGTTCATGGAGGGTTATTATGTCTTTTTAGGTCCCAGCGGAACATCTCTGTGGGTGTGTGCGTGTGTGAGAAGAAGGTACTTGATTTTTTCCGAAGTCGGTGCCAAACCCGTTTCTTATGGTTCTCATAAAGCCCTTAAGTGAAGAGTGCATAGTCGTTGGTTCGGGTGCTCCAGGCTGTCGTGTAGTGTGGTCTAGTCCGACCACGAACACGACCACGAACGCCCCAAAGCCTTGAAACTGCAAAGCCATAGGCCCCTAAACCCTACAAAGCCCTGCACCTCCGCCCTCAATCCTGAAACATCTTGGCCGAGATGGAAGCGTGCTCCAAAAGCATGGTGGGGTGGCCAAGCTTGCCAGCAACGCAGCCATTCCCCACAGCGTGAGGGCACGCTTAGTATACTAACAGCAGCAGGTACAAACACAAGTAAGAAGTCGAAGAACACTATCGGCGGCGACCTAGTCATCGTCCTTCGGGTCGTGCGGATGAGTTTGCTGATGATCACGAGATTGGTAGAGACTTGAGTGTGGCATTCAAACTACCGGAGTAGCAACAGAAGCATCAGAGTCCTATAGAAACAGTCGTTCCATGCGTGATTGTCTCGGCAACCCATTCTTGGCAGGTGTAGGGCTCTACGCGTTTCGAGTCATCACAGGCCCTATAGCCAATAGCCACGAGTTTCCCAAAGCTCTGAATCTTAGATTCTGAAACTCTCAATCGTTGGCACTTTGTATCTGTCCACTCTGCTCCAAGCACCTTATTGTCAGCAACGTATGAATTTGTGTTTTCGTTGTTTTCGTCTAAAGACTACAAGTATGCTCATCTTGATATTGTCGATGTTGCAGTACTTACTCTGTTTGCTATGAGCTGCTCTTGTTGCTGTCATACCTGGCGAACTTAGACTGCAGTTCTGTGATCATTGTTGCCCGTGCTGCAGTTGCTTGTTCGACTACTGCCAGTACCTCTTCTTTAGCCCTGGCAAAGCCCTGAACCCTGAGCTCCGAGCTCCACCACGCGGAACTCTTAAGCCAAAGCTCTCCAGGGGCACTCTCAAAGCTCCTTCCGAGGTCTACTCTCGGATTAATCCGTGGACTGACGGATCGCAGGCATTCTCCACGGACAGAAATTTGCTGCTGCTGCTGCTGCGGCCACTCCTGCAACTGCTACTGCTACCTGCTGCTACGACGACGACTACTTCTACCACCACCACCACCACGACGACTACTACTACTACCACTACTACTACTACCACTACTGCCACTACTACTACCACTACTACCACTACTACCACTGCTACCACTACTACCACTACTACCACTACTACCAC